ATAAAATGCAGAAAGCAAAAGAAAAGCTTCAGAGAAGTTTTGGTTGTTAGACAAACTCTTATTTCTATCACCGCTGTAAAAAAACATACGAATTTCGGGATAGTGATGATCTTGAGGTGAGAGTTCTGTAGGAATCAAAGAATAAGCACTTTTATAATTGAATTACTACAAAGGAAAGACCTGGATTTTGAAGCAGGGGATATTTTTAATTTTATCTATGTTTTAATAAATCTGTAGTTCTCATGGTAGATTCTTGAAAGCATTCATTTATAGTGTCTCTTTCTTTGCTCTCTGAACCATACATATTTGTGCAGTTATATTGCTACTTAGATATTAAGTTTTTCAGTTTTTCCTTCACTTCATTTTTTCTTGTGGTTTCCCTCACCCTGTAAACTGAGTTGGGACGGGTACATATATATAGATTTGAATACGTGTGTTGGAAGTCAACAGCATTTCCATACTCATCAGTTAATTCTTCTGCTTCCTTTTAGATCTATATCTAGATGCCTTACTCATATATTCAGAGCAATGTAAATGAGAATAGAATAGAAAAAAAGGAAGCAAAATGTACAGTTTAAGAAAAAAAGGAAAACATTATGAGATAGAAACTATGCATTTAAGTTGCATTTTGAGTTTATAAAACCTTTGGAAAACTATGTGCAACTAAAAAAAACATTATAAGCTTTGAGATAGATGAATTTTGGACAACTAAATTTCATGGTACTTTATATCATTACAAATGAATCACCTTTCCTAATATTTGGGACCCTTGGAATGTATAGCATTCATTATATCCACACACGTACTACATGAAGCACTTCTGAAATAAGTATTGAGTCTTCAGTACCAAAGCATTCTCGCCTGTCAGTAAGACAAACTACATATGCATTGCTTTTCCAAGGGATATCTGTGCACAGCCATGTTCTAGTATTTCCAGTTACGTTAATTCCTGTCCCAAAAGACCAACTGGTTTGGTCCCTAGAATGGTGTATTCCCTGGGCCACACTCCTGTTTGTCTGGCAGAGGAATTACTGTTTAAAATAGCAGACATGAATGAACAAGCAGCCTAGGACTAGTGCTGTGCGGTAATGCAGGGAGATTTCCAAATGACAATGTAGGGATATCAGGAGTACTCAATTTCAAAAGTAATAAATGAAACAAATATTAGCCTTTATTGGGATATTTCGTAGTTTTTTCAAAGAGTAGGTACTCATGAAAATATACATTTGATATTGAGAGTGTTTCTCATTTTAGTTTGGGGAAAAATGGTATCATAATGATTTGTATTAGCTGTGACCAAAAACTGTAATAAAGATATGTATCAACCCTTTAAAAAAACACAAAATTCTTTATATTCCTACATTTCTAATATCAGATTTAGTGTGTGAAGATCATTAACCTTCAGGAGAGAAAAAAATAAATATTTTCCACTGAGCTGAATGCAATGCAAGAATGTGACGATTTTTTTTTTATTGGAATATTTGAAAATACTTGTTCTGGATATTTGGGCATGAAAATATAAATTTCATGCTTAAACAATTTAGGGAGGACAGGTGTTATTCTTGCTTTTTTGAATAACATAAAAGAAAAAATTCCTGACTTAAAATCTGAGTAAAAAGGAAGTAAATTTGAAATTTCCATATCTGGTTAGGACTTGTTTCTTCTTGAGTGAATGCTAAGAAAAAGAAAGTGTCAATTTCTGCCAACCTTGTTTTTTACAGTATTGTCACAAAGAAATTATACTTAATATTATTTAACATGAATAGCTTATTAATTAGTATTTCTAAGTGGCAGAATTTCTGCTAATAAAACTTTTTAAAGGAGTGTGTGCTTTTCTACTAAGCAGAACTCTCTGAGGCATATTTTACTCACAGCCTTTGAACAGAATTTCCATTGATTTTAGTAGGAATTAATGAAATATAGAAACTTCTTTAAAAACATTGAAGAGTATTTTGATCTTCGTATTTTATCATCATGTGAAAAAAAAAATAGAGGACAAATAAGTTCATACATACCTCAGTTACAGGTGGAATATTGATTTAAAAGAGCATTTTAGTTTTGCACAAGCACACAATACACATGATTTCAGAGACAAATGACAAATCTAGAACAAAGACAATTCTTACTTGGAGAGAGATTGAAACAATTGGGAAAGCTTTCTTTAAAAAGGAGATGAGCAACAATACACAATAAAAATGTAGAAAGTGGAATGGTGTAAAAAATTCCATTATGTTTATTTTCAGAGTACATGAACAAGAAGTTAAACCAAATTACAATATGGCAAATTTAAAAGGAAATGCTTTTCCACGCTCCAAATCATTACTAAATATCAGAATGTCACTGAAGTCAGGAATCTGTGCAGAGCTGCAGAATAATTATAATCTAGTTTGGCAAATCCTGTGCTCCCTGACAGATGACAATCTGAAGGCAACAATCTGTAGCTTTAAATGGTAGGGAGTTGATAGTACAGTGTCACATTCCATTTGAAAATAGATACTACTTATCAAGGAAGGCTAATGCAGTTATTTGGTCAGTTAGACACATCCCCCTTACAATAATGCACTGATATGTGTTCATAATGGAAATACAGAAGAAATTAATATATTTTAAATTGTACAATTTATCCACTTTCTTATTTAGAATCAGGAACAAAATGACTTGAAGGATTTGAAGTAGTAACATACTGCCTAGCCACTTTCATAATATTAAAAAGTAAATGGAAAATGCCAAGTAATCTTTTTAGACAAGTCATATAGTATTGCAACTAGAAAATTGGTTTTATTTTAGAAAGAGGGTGATTTTTAATTATTGGTTTATAATATCATATAATTTCACAAAAATATATTCTCTTCTGTGGGTACTTCTTGAGGAGACAGCTGTAAGACTAAAGCAAGCAATTTTAGACATCACTAATCTTTATATTCTTTGTTTCAAGGGACAGATAATCTTTTTCTGACCTTTTTACAAAGCACTGAGAAATACAGGTCTCTGAAAGATTTCACCCTCTTGGAGAAGCCAAAAATAAAACCACTGTGTACGGGCAGAGTTTTCAGGCTAATATAATGTGATTCATAAGATAACCAAAATCCACAGGATTGTGTTCTTATCTCTATTTTGACATGCTATGATGACACTTAATAACTGGGGTGGCCTTGAAAACCTTTAAAGGATTTAAGAGAAATCTCTTTGAAAAAATGTACAGGAGTTAACTGCAGTGTTGCCTTCTTTGTAAAGCTTTCAAGCATATTTGAGAACAGGGGAGGTTTATGGGAGGACAGAACGTTTAGCGTGATAAAGCAGTAGTAATAATATCAACCATTTAGGTGAGCTTTGAAGTAACCAAGATGAGACAGGCTATCTTCTTACTTCTGTGCTGTGTCCTTTTGCAAGGCAATGAAAGTCAAATCCTGTTCCACAAAACTTACTATGTAAGAGAAAGGAAGCAATAGCAGCAATGACATCAGCAACTAAGCTGCATATTTAACATATTCTTATCAAAACATGGCTGATACAGCAAGTCTTGCACATCAACACTTTGTTAGTATGTATTTTATGTACAGCTTATATATGTATAGACATATATAGTATATGTAGAATAAATATACTGGATTCTTCTTTTTAAAATCTCTTTCAGAGTTTTGTTTCATGGCTGGTATCAGAAATCTAATGTATCCTAGCTCTTGGTAGTTCTTGGCACAGAAGTTTGACAATGTAACATCTCATGAGCCATACTGCTTGTTTTGTTAAATATTTATATCTTTTTTCTTTATTTTAAACCTACTATAACAGTTCAAATTATTTTTTCCATACTGTATTTATGTTATTTCTAAATAAGTTAATATATACATGTGTGTACGTCTGCGTGCACACACTCATGAACACATCAGGGATGCAGAAGAATAACTGAGTTACTTGAAACTCGGGGAAAGAGATGGAAGAGAACACATATACACCCTTCCATTCTTCCATTTTATTTCCTTACTTTGTAGATTAGGGAAATTTGCTATGAATCCAAGTACAGGTTTACCTGATTTGCCACTTCCCTATTAGCTTTAGGCTGGTAAGCATACTAGGCACAAGCTTTAATGAGCTCAGGATGATGTTATGAAAACTCTCGTGCTCACACTTGTGCAAAATCTGTTTTTCTGTCCATTTAATAAAGGACTTCACAGTAAATGATGGGAAATGTTGCAATCAAGTTATTTATGATGTTGAAACATCAGTCAAAAGGGTACACAGTCGGAGTGTTAGTATCACCTGGTAAAACTGGACTCTAATTAATGTCCTCAGAGATCAAACTAACATCAGAGATGCGATGTATTTTGGATTCTCAGTGGTTTAAAGCTCTGCATTAGGGTAGAAGTCACCCATATCTATGGTATTCCATATGTTTAAATTAACCAATCCTTTGCTCAGAAATCAGTTGCCCACAATATCTCACCACTTTATTAATATTAATAATAAATAATGCTTTATTATCTAAAATCTGTGAAATCATCCAACTGCTTCCTGATCATGCTCAGGCTTATGTCTGGTAAAACCTTCTAGTGTTCTGTCTTGAGTACTTTTCCTTACTCTTCCAAATTTTAATTGATTTGAATCTGTTGTTCTTTCATGTCTGTATTACAGTTTTGTTTATTGTTTTGCATTTTTATAACTTAAGAGTCAGAAATATATCAAGTTGCTCTGTTTCTTCTTCCTGTATAATGGGTTCTTTGCTATAAATTAATTAAAATATATGAATATATCTCTAGCTGGAGCCTAAGGAAAACTCTGTGCTCAGTTTCATATAATATTCTACCTTTGGACAGAAGGGTACAGAAACAGATACATAATAGACTAAGCCAGTAATGGCTCTTCGGTGTGAAGAGTTGTAGAATATCCATGAAAACACACTATCTGCTGAAAACTGCCATAGTTTTGGTTTTCTATATTCTTCAGCAAAATGCGGTATTGATTTATAAAAACATCATAAGTAATAATAAATACGTCTTCTCTAGAATTACAGAGTAGTTCCTGTGGCAATCCAGGAGTTCCACCGAAGGGTATCTTGTATGGTACAAGATTTGATGTTGGTGACAAAATCCGATATAGCTGTGTAACTGGATATATTTTGGATGGCCACCCTCAGCTTACTTGCGTAGCTAACTCTGTGAATACAGCATCGTGGGACTTCCCTGTTCCAATCTGTAGAGGTAAGAGAAATGTTACAGTAATGTTCTCAAATAAATACATTATATCTATCAATATGAACAACTTTAAATCTCTGTTTTAATTATTAACTTCTAGACTGTGGTTAAAGAAATAAAAGCCTTTGAATATTTCGACCTCAGTATATGCACCTACTAATTTTTAAGTCAACATCCTATTGAAATAATATTTCTCATTTATTTAAAAATATATGCAATGAAATGAGAACTAGAAACATAGTAATAAGTAGGATATAAATGTCTATGTTCAGCATGTTAACAGCCATGGGAATGTAAATCTGGGATCCATTCATACTTCCTAAGGACTGACTTTTCATCGAGCATTAACTTGGATGCTGAGCGAACAGATGTTTGAAACCACCAAAACAATTCAATTAGAGAGAATTCCTCTCATTCTCAGTCAGATATGATATCTTAAGATTTCTATATACGATATCCCTTGTATTCTAAAAAATATTGTAGGACAAATCCATTTCCCTTGCCAACATTAGAAATATAGCAGTAGTAGGGAATCTTGTTTTGTGGGTAAATTTGATTTTCTGGGACTATTAGAGAGCAATAATGTTTGCAGAGTAATGAAAGGAGCTAAGCTGATAAAATTGAGAATCTATCACTACTATGCACAGCCAAATACAATAAAGGTAGTATTTTGATGAAACACTGTTATGTCAGGCAAGCTTGAGATCCTTTTCTGGATTCACAGGTCAACTTTACAGAAAGTAACATTTAAATTTGTCTGAAAATTTTGACACAGTCTTGCAGGGCTACAAAAACTTTCCAACTGAAACCAGCATTCTGATAAATTTCTAGTTAAAAAAACTCAAAATTCCATTTGGTTAAAACCTGGTTAACCAGTACCATAAAAAAGTAATTGTGTGTAGGAAATGTGTATCACTGGAAATACCATACTAATGGGTCCTATTCTTGGCTTAGAGCTATTTCATTTTTATCCATGACTTTGAAGAACATATAAAGTTATTGCTAATAACACTATTTTCTGGTAAAATTGTTTATAACTCCCAAATCTTCCCCTCCTATTTGCCATAAAAATGCTACCCAATAATGAAGAAGGTACACAATCAAGGCATAAGTCCAAATTTTGTTTGTGGAGATGATTATAAAAAGATTTTATGAAAATATGTTAACTTGCACAGAATTTACATTTCTAATAATATAGAAGGCTAATTGACTTCACTGCAGACCATTGTTCATACTCTTGATCTGCCAATTTTGAAATGAATTGGCATAAAAAATTGTACTCTTAAATGAGGAAGATGGCAGACTTGAACCTGATGCTTCCACTTGCCAGTCAGTCATCACAGTCACAGTGTTACACGTGCTTTCTTTTGATACAATGTTTTTCAGTAGAACTTTGGATAGGTTTTTTTTTTTTTATTTCAAGGGGATGTGAAAATACACCATGTAAATTTGAATTGGAATGATAAGCTCCCAAAGCAGTCCTGTGGTTAAACATAAGTCTAATGAGTAAGCAGAAGACTATCACATAAGAATATTAAAACGTATTTATTTTTATTTGTGATTACAGAAGTCATTATCTGAATAGTGTCACTCTCTAGGGAAAAATAGAGTTGACAGATTGGAAAGGATTCAGAAAAAGAGAACACAATTTTGTTCAGGTTTCAGAAGTGTCATTTTGTCTATAGACTGAAGGAACTAAAACTTTTCAGTGTATGCGAACGTTGTAGTTTGGCTGCGGCCAGCAACAAAGGGCCACACAGTCACTCTGTCACCCTTCCCCCCACGAGGGTGGCGAGGAGAATGGAAAGAAACAGGCAAAAAACTGGTGGGTTGGGATAAGGGCAGTTTAACAGAACAGCAAACAAAGAGAACAGTAACAGCAACAATACAGATAAGGAGAACATACAAAACAAACAGCAAAATGCACAGAGCAACTCTCAGTGCCTGATGTCCCACTCGCTCCCAAGCTGCGACTGCCTTCCCCCCCAGCCCGCTCACCCATCTGGAACCCATCAGGACAGCACATGGTATGGAATACCCTGCTCTGTTTGGCCAGGTGGGGTCAGCCCTCCTGGCTGTGTCCCCTCCTGTTGTCTGGTGAAAATTAACCCTGTTCTGGCTGAACCCAGGAGAGCGAAGAAGGATGAAGAGGTGACAATTTACTGCAGAAGTTTAAGAAGAAAGGAAATATTTTTTGGAGAAGACAGTGGTCTAAGAAATAGCAGTGAAGAATCTGAGGGATAAAACCTTGCCAAATAAAAAGTAAAAAAATCCTACGTACTTATTTTCATAGTGGTAGTTACAAATTACTGAAACATAACCTAGGAATGTGACGGATTCTTGATGTAAGTGTTAACATCAGGCATAATGGCTTAAAGGCTTAATGCACCAAATTACTGTTATGGTATTTTTGGTCTATGTTCGACAAAAAAATGAACTAATTATTTTCAACATTTCCTTCTGTGAGTCTGTGTTTGATATCAGAAACATGTAACTTCACATTTAATACAGAGACCTTTGTGGTTCTTGTCCTAATTTTGTTTACGGCAATTATCCAACACCTAATTCTGCAGAAGATTGCTAAAGGTAATTACCCACTAATGAGCTTCTTGCCTCTTTACGATTGCCATGGAGATTGTCTTTGATTAAACATTCATCTTTAAAGAGTTCCTGTTATAAATGTCTTATTGTTCCCTGCCAATGGTCATTGCATCTAAAATAGAGAATCCTGAGACAAACAAGTGAAGTAGTGTGTAATTTTGAGGGTATATGTGTAAGAATTAATTTTTCTCAACGCTACACAACTTGACTACTGATTTGTGGTAGATGGTGAGGTCTATTCCAGACATGCATATACTACTCATTCATTTTAATATAGTTAGCTGGATTGGGGAAATACAGAGTATTTCAATGCCATGTCCTAGGAAATGTCGTTGTCTCGTTTGCTAGAAAAAAGTCCCAAGAATATCACAAAACTGTACTTTATTCAATATCAATTTGTGTGGTTTTGTTTACTTGTTTGTTTTTACATATAGAAAATAAATTGAACAAAGCTCTGAACTTACAGCATGCTCAAATGTCAGTGGAGTTAAGCTCATAAATGTCTTTACATCATTTGTGTGTAAATGTCACTGTCGTCTGCCTCTTGTAATTCAGAACACGTAAATATAAGGAGGAATTTTTTTTTAGATAATTCCTTTTACGTTGCCTGCACTTCAGATGAAGATATCAGGAGGAGGTCATACTTGCGTTTCAGCAATGTAATTCTTATGAGTTGATGTCTCAGTGAGGGAAATTTCATTTGAATCAACGGTGCTTTGTATCACCACAAGTATCCAGACATGAGACTCTATTACAAGTTTATCATTTAAATTTGGTGCATAACACTGATATTTATATTTTTTTAAGTTATGCATTTTTGGGACAAATTTTTTTCATGAGGAAAAGAATTATTCCTCTAGTGGCTTCCTTTCTCTTTACTAGTCTCCATAGGATTGCATTGCACAGTCAGTGTACATATCTAACAATTGCTTTGTTTGATATCCTGTTTCTCATTGAACATAGTCTGAATGTACAAAGTTTTTCACCTATTATTTGCATGTTGTGATATTAATTAAATATTGTAATTTTTATTAGATTTACTAGAAGTGCAAAAATACCTTAATTAAAAGAAGACTAAATTTGATTTGTTGTGTTGTGGTCAATTATACTGTGCACAACCCGTGACTAGTTTTTAAATAAAGCCTTCTTCCCTGACAAATTATTTTGATAAGGTTGTTTTCCACAGTGAAACATGACAGCAGATTTATCTTATCACCTATTCCTGAGATAATGTTGCAGCTTGCGGTTTCTCCACAATGCAGAAAGTTAGGAGTAATTTACTGAGGCTAATAAATAAGGTTACATTTATATAAAATATTGTCATTCTATAAAGGTTATAATAATTAGACACTTTCACAATAAAGAAGTATTCTGACTTTTATATTTTTAACACTTTTCTTATTCCAGGGTAAAATGGATGTTGTAAGAATCTTCATTCTAAAATTTGAGGTTTTTAGAATTCAGAAATTTCAAAAACAGAATATAGTTTTAGTTGTATTCCTAGAAGTTATATTAAAATATTTTTACTATTGCTTGTACATATAGGTACAAAATATTTGTCACTATAAAACTTCTGTTCATATTTTTAACAAGAGGCTTTGTTTTTCCACTTGTTTGAATTGACATGCAGTTTGGTCAGACAAGTGCACAATCCACTGACTGTAGGTACTTTTTCGACATGGACAAAATATATTTCTGCTTTGTTTATTATTTGTCTGGGAGGATATTGAGTTGTTTTTCCATATTTTGTCATGACAGTTGAAAAACTGAAGAGGTTGTTACTACTTTCCTAGTCTGGGAATTCTGTAATTCCCCTGAAACATATATATATATGTAGATATAAAGATATGTTTATTTCTACCTATCTGTACAGTTATATACTTAGTTTCTTCTTCTTCGGTGGATTTATTCCAAATAAACTGGATAGATGTATTTACAAGCTCATACTTTAAAAAGTGATCTACCAAGCATCAAACTGAATATTAGAATTTTCAGCTCACTATTGAAGTATTTTGTTATTTCCTGTGTTCTGAACCCTCTGAGAGGAAAATTTGTTAATTGCAAGTCACTAATATAATTCTGTGATGACATAGATACATGACTACACCTATTTCAACTACATGAGGTAAGTTATAGGTCAAATGAAACACAGCATCTTCAAATGAAATAAAAGTATAACTAATAGTCCTGTAGACCCTCCAGTACACTTTCTTGAAGGGATACCTCTGTTTACATACAGCCTATAATAATGTGTAATGTTAAAAAAAAACAGTTGAACTTCACATACCTACCAAGAAATAGTCATATGACAATGCAAGCATTTCACAGACAGACAAAATCGGTTGCAGGTAGATAAATGATTTTTTGACAATGTGCCAAATAGAACCTAGTAATATAAGCAGTAA